GCAAATGGTGCGGAAATTTCATGGTAAAGCTTTCGAAAAATCCGAGGTTTGTCCAATTTCCGGAATGCGAGCCATTCAACAAAAAAATTTCGCAGCGAACAAAATCAAATGGGATGTCACGGTAATCAGGCAGATAATTACACGACTGGACAGACAATCAAATAATTTGACAGATTCCATGACATACATTGAAATCTGACTAAAATTTAAGTGACATAACAGACACTTCGGAAAATAAGAGGTCTTAAGGACGGTGCCTACTAAATACAAAGGTTTCTGCGCCAGATTAGGATCACGCGGAAAAAGTAGGTCTTTGCGAGGGCTATTGGAATCCACAAAGAAAAATGGAGGTAGCCACGCATTTTTTCGAGATAATTAGCCTCGAATCTCAACAAAAATGCTGACATCAGCATTTTTCTGAATAATGGAAAGGATATTTCTTCACAGATTTCCTTGGAATTCGCCTTTACATACAGAAAAGCAAACACAGTTAAAAAGATCTTTCAGCTACATGGCAAATGGTAACATGAAGACCATTTTTGGTATGTTTTTAATAACAAAATCGTTGCAACAGCGCTTTTAGCGTCTCGGACAGCCTTACTCTGGTTCAACTAAAATATAGTCTAAATACCTTTTTGACCACAACCAACTACTAATCATGTGTTGAATAGGCTTCCCACTTCCATTTCTTTACATAAAATGTAGGGGTAACCACGCGTTTTTTAAAGTTATTGATCTTTTTTGAAAACTTTTACGGTGCCCGTTACATTTTTTCCTGTTACCTCCCCAGTGAGTAAGATATTTGCGTATCTCGCACTTATTTTGCGCGCGCACTGCGCCATCTAGAGGTGCATGTTTACAGTTAGATTTCGGTATAATTTTCGACAGATAACAGATAGGTTTTCAGCTGGAAGACGTTAACAGTTAGTGGTTAGCGATATACTGCTATTCTGGTGTTCCTGGTTTAAGTACAGGTTTATTTGGTCACAGCAGAAAAATTTCNATGTAGGGGTAACCACGCGTTTTTTAAAGTTATTGATCTTTTTTGAAAACTTTTACGGTGCCCGTTACATTTTTTCCTGTCACCTCCCCAGTAAGTGACACATTTGCGTATCCCGCACTTGTTTTGCGCGCGCACTACGCCATCTGCAGGTACATGTTTACAGTTGGATTTCAGTATAATTTTCGACAGATAATAGCTAGGTTTTCAGCTGGAAGACGTAAACAGTTTGTGGTTAGCAATATGTTGTTATTCTGGTGTTCCTGGTTTAAGTACAGGTTCATTAAACTTGATTTGGTCACGGTAGGAAAATGTTGCTTTCATTTTAGTCGTGTACGTAATAGCGTAGCGCGCGCGTGGAGCTAAACCATGGCTTGCGTGATCCGCAGAACGTGTGCGCGCTAACAAAAGTAGGCACCGTCCTTAAGGCTAATTATCTCGAAAAAATTCGTGGCTACCCCCATTTTCCTTTGTGGATTCCAATAGCCCTTGCAAAGATCTACTTTTTCCGCGTAGTCCTAACCTGGCGCAAAAAACCTTTGTATTTAGTAGGCACCGTCCTTATAGGATTTCAAAGACTTCTTTGTCTTTGGTGATCGAAGCAAATTGTTCCAATGCTTTACAGTTCTTATGGCAAAGGTGCGTCCTCCCTCCGAGATGTTTCTGTGAAGGGGCCACAATAAATTTACATTACAATTTCTCGTGATTCTTGAGTGAGCATCGGAGGTTTTTCTAAGAGATGCGTTTGAATAGTCGGGTAGAGTACCGTTTATCCGTTTATAGGTCAGTTAACATCGCCATACGCTTCATTTATAAAAGGGCATCCAGCTTAGGTTGTCAAACAATGTTACTGCCTGTTCGACTAGTGCGTTCACTGCGTTGTGCTTCAAGAATAATACGTGCGGCCCGTTTCTGCATACGGAGAATTCTCTCGAGTGTCTCTTTGTTGCACGATGTCCATACTGAGCTTGCATACATCATAAGTGGTTTTATTACTGCGTTAAAATAGATTATTCTCTGGTTTTTCTTTGAGTAGGGTTTAATATGGCGCAAAAGGCCAAGTCAAAGGTCAAGTCAAAGTTCATCGACATGCACTTCGTAAGTTAGATCTTCATCAATGATCATACCAAGAAGTTCATGGTTTGCGACTTGTTCAATTTCTGCGTTTTTACTTCCAGTTTTGCTATATCTTGGACCATGAGCTTCCGTAGACGCTTCCCCGTTACCGACAGAGCTTTTGTTTATTTTGGTCTCTCGAGCCCATCTCTCTACTTCACTCAGGTCCAGTGACAATGTTTGATTTAGTGATGGTATGGTTTTCCAGTTTGAACTTCGAAGCCAAGGTGGTGTCGTCTGCAAAACTGTCCATAGCTGAGTTTTGAACGTGAATGGGCATATCGTTGACGAACAAAATGAAAAGCACCGGCCCTTGGGACACACCTTGCTTTACCGTTAACTGTTCAGACGTAGTTTTCCCTAACGAAATAAATTGTTTCCCCTCAGGCAGGTAGGATTTGAACCAGGCAACAGAAGAAGGAGTAGCACCGTAGATCGACAGCTTTTTTAGAAGAAGTTCATGATCAATCACATCAAAAGCTTTTCGGAAATCTATAAAAACCAGACCGGTCACTTCGTCATTTTTCATGTTCTCTAGAATCTGATCCGTAAGTCTGATCAGGGCTGTTTCAGTAGAGTGTCCTGACCTAAAGGTTGATTGCAGCTCGTACAAAAAGTTATTATTGCGTAAGAAATTAGAAAGAGAGCTGGCCACGTGCTTTTCGAGAATTTTCGAAAAGACAGGTGAAACAGATATCGGGCGGTAATTGTTGATATCATTTCGTGCTCCTCCTTTGCGCAGTGGAAATGAAATGAAACAGTGCTTTCCACTGGAAACAGCACAACCAATTAACAGCTAATTCCATCAAGTTGGCCTGCGTCCAAAGGTGAGCACAACAGACCAATCCCAATGTGGGATACTATCTTGGAGGAAGTAACATCTTTTTTTAACCTAGTCTGTGCAGTCAGCATTGACGGGGGTTCCCATGAAGACATCAAGGTCAGGATAAACAAAGCCAGAGTAGCTTTCAACATGCTGAGGAGAATGTGGTCCTCCCAACCAAATTTAGAATTTTTAACACCAATTTAAAAAAGCTTAAAAGAACTTAAAGAAAGAAACTTAAAGAACAGCTAACGGAAAAACCCAGCAGCCCTTCGTCGAATTTTAATAATCCGTTGGACGGACGAGGTAACAAATGAAATAGTGTGGGAAATAACAGGCGAGGAACCAATCGAGTCTCAGATTTTAAGGAGAAAGTGGAGGTGGGCAGGTCACACCTTAAGGAAACCTGCTAGCAACATCACTCGGCAGGCACTATGATGGAACCCTCAGGGCAAGAGGAAGAGGAGTCAACCAAGAAACTCCTGGAGAAGGGGTGTGGAGTCTGAAATGAGGAAGTGGGGCCACAGACACACTAGGAAGGCTTGCCCAGGACAGAAGCCGAGGAGAACGGAAGTGATCAATGGCCTATGCTCCAGCTGGAGCTAAGAGACAAATCATCATCAAATAGTTGAATATTGAATAAATAATTGAATGTTGAATAAACAGTTGAATACACTCTTCTTTTATATAAGAAGGTCTAATTTTGGAGCTGATGCTGAACGTTTTGTACTTTTTTGCGATTTGAGACTGAAAACGTTCTCAAATTTACATGGTATTCAAGGTCAACTAGCTTGATAATACTTCATACTTTGTATCACCTGATGACTTTGATGGTGTGGAAGTTACTACCGAACAGTTATAAATAAGAACTACTGATTATTGCAAACCGAGATGTGTGTCGTGCAATAAGAAAACCATTGTTAATGTTATACAAAACATGCCATAAGTATTTGGGTTAATTTTACATTTTTCTTACATTTATTTTATGCTTGTCATTTAATACATACAGATTAGCAAATAAAAACAATCTTAATCGACTCTCAGCCTGAGGAATGTTCTTAATACGTTCTTAAAATTTTGGTTTATCTCGGTCTCAACTTTCTTGTAAAAAAAAACGTTCTTATATATATATATATGACTGGATTTATGAAAATCGAGTTAAGACTTTGCACCAAAATAGCGGGCATGTTTTTGGAAAATCGGTCAGAATTACCGTACATAAATATGGGCATGTCGTACTGACAGCGCTACCTGCCTCGTGTACTCTTAAAAGAAGCCATAACATGCTTGTACAAGGCGTTTAAGCCACTGCAAATGGGTCGAACGAGCCAAACAAAGCTGAATTAGAATTAAAGGTTAAATTGATCAGTTGACTTGCGGCGCTAATTTAGACATGTTTAACCTCTGCGATTTCACCTAAATGGCCTCACCATGTCTAATTTACTATGGGTTAAATTAGTCGGTCATTGTGACAAGAGCATGGAAAGCACTCACATCGGTCATTTATTTCTATGTTTCAGCGAAAAAGCGACACTTACGTGACATTCAATTTCAATAATTCTGTCTGGAATCGCAAAAACATAGCCACAGAATTTGACTTGTTACTGATAATCTTGATACAATTCTGTCCTCGAGCTAGCTTTCCACAAGGCTTATCGTAGCTCAAATAAAAGGAAATAACTCCTGTATGCCTTTTGAGGCCAGGAAGACTAATTTCACCGTCTTTTCGTTGAATCAGGAATTGTACAATTTAATTAAGAGTGCTTTTAACATGAAATTGGAGTCTAAATCATACGAAAGCCGAGGAGACTTCAGACTTCAGACTTCAGACTTCAGACTTCAGACT